CCCTTCTTTCAGATAACTCTAGCCTGTGTCAGGTTCACATAAAACTAGCCAGCACAGACCTGAGTTCTTTGGAAGCCACATTAAAAGTTGCCACAATCGGACCTGTGACCCCAACACAGTCGGTGAAGATGGGTACAGGAAGAGTCTGTAAGGTTTTGCTGACCATGTCTACCCTCAGGCTTAGTGAGAGACCCTGTCTCAAGAGAATGAAGACACCCATTGTTCTCCTCTGGCCTCCACATGTTTACATATGTACTCACCTGCAGACATGCTTGTACACGGCAAGCGCACATACACAGGAAGACACTAGGAACTTCGATGAAACATGCTGTCAACTAGAATACATCTAGTTGATTCAATTGAGTTGCTTTCACCAAATCAGAAAGTAAATATATTCCTAAGAGTCGTACACTTAGCAGAGTCTGTGTTTCTTGGGATCATAGTATACGTTTACCTGTTCCTGTTTCCTGTTCCTGCTAATAAGAACTCTAGGAAGTCACAGTTACAGCCAGCCTGAACCTCATGTCCAGTGCCCACAGTGGCACCTCTTTATGCTGTCCATCACTATCCTAAAGCTGGGTGCACTAGTTTACCCAATGGTTCTAGTCACCATTATGCCAAACTTGGCCCTACCTTCATATTTGGTTTTCAGCCCAAATGGAGGTTGGCTGTAAACCCTATAAATGTTTCTTCTTCCCCCTCCCCTCCATTCCCAGAGGTTATGGCTGGCAGTGAAAAGAGCTGCTGGCTCAGACTTGGGCTGCAAAGACCTGTTTCCAGCAACCCATGCTGGAAACATTGTAGTGTCCAGAACTATAAGAGATTGAGAATCAGCACAGGATGAGGAGGAATTAGAATTGACAGGCCAGTGAGACTGCAGGGTCACTTCTGCCGGGCTGCTCTCATAGGTCTGCTTGGAAGAAAGAGAGTTCAACCCTGGATTGGTACTACCGCACCAAAGACCACCTCCATCCAGAGGGGCCCAATCGCGGTGCCAAGTATGTATTGGTGTGAAGCCTGTCACTATTTTGCAGGTGAGCAAGTATGAACTCTCTGTAGAGGCTGCTGGGCACCTTGTTCTTAGACCAGGGGCCTGAGTGAGGTGAGCCAGGGACTCCTCAAGGCCCTTCTCTATGTCCCAGTTTCCTTGTTAGGTTAGGAAGGGTTGCAAGGCTGCAAGGGCAGGAACTTGAGCATGAAGCCCAAGAAGTAGGAAGATGGGAACAGAACGTGGGCCACTGCCTGGGCCATCAGGATGGCTTAGAGGGCAAAGGTGCTTGCTGCCATGCCTGACAACCTGAGTCCAGTCCTGGGAATGGAAGTGCACTCCAGCAAGCTGCCCCTGGACTTCTGTGACACACGCATGCACACACAATAAACACGCAGCACAGTTATCTGTTTAGATGCCGAAATTTGAAGCAGGTCTGGTTAGACCCCACCAGTGTCCCACCAAGCATGGTGTGCTGCAACACTGAGGATGGAAGGGAGCACATTTTTGAAAAATGTAAAGGGGATTGAGGCAAGTCCTGCACGAGTCAGGGTGATCATAAGGCCTGAAATTTACTGCAGTGTCCAAGTCAAGGGACAAAATTGGCACTCTGGTGTTTCTCCACCCTTAAGAGGTATTGTTAGAATCCAAAACACGGAGTTGAATTGTGGCTCGGTTGATTGAACGCCCATTTAGTGTGTGGAAAGTCCTGTGCTCAGTTCGCAACACGGCGTGAAGTGCTTCTGGTGGTAACACCTGCCATCCCAGCATTCATGGGATGGAACAGAGAGGCTCAGAAGCTTGAGAGACCAGCCCCTGATAAGGAAAAAGATTCCAAAAAAGTTCCTTATGGATTTGTTCCCAACAAGTCTGTATGCTAATTTATCTGTCAGTGAAGTTCAGAAGCTCAGGGAAAAGGGCTGTGTCCCCCTTTTGACCACTTCGTATCCTTTTCAGTTTTTGTTTTTGTTGTGTGTGTGTGTGTGTGTGTGTGTGTGTGTGTGTGTGTGTACGTACAAGCCATAAAATGCAGGTCAGAGAACAAATTGGTTCTTCCCTTCTACCATGTGACTTCCAGGATTGAATTCATGTCCTTGGGCTTGACAGCAAATACCTTTGCCCTATGAGAAGGTCCACCATTTTAGGTTTTTTGGTGTTTTGTGGTTTTTTTGTTTTGTTTTGTTTTGTTTTGTTTTGTTTTTTTTTTTTTTTTTTTTTGGATTTTTGGTTTTGTAAGATTTATTATTTTGGATAGGAGAGATGGCTCAGTGGTTAAGAGGACTCACTGCCCTTCCAGAGAACCTAGGTTCAATTCCCAGCACTAACATGGCAGCTCACAACTATCTAACTCCAGTTCCAGGGGATCTGACATTCTCACACAGATATACATGAAGGCAAAACACTAATGAACATAAAAATAATTATCATTAAAATTTTATTTTAAAAAACTGGTTTAAAAAAGGATTTATTATTTTTTACTTCTGCGTCATATGCACACTGCATGTGAGTTTCTTTAGAGGCCAGAAGAGCATTGGCTCCTTAGGCACTGAAGTTACAGGCGACTTTGAGCTTCCTGATGTGGATACTGGGAACCAAATTCAAGATCTCACTGCTGAGCCATCTCTCCAGCTCCATTTTGATTTTTGTCTCAACCTCAGATTCCTAGGAAGATCCTAAGATGGGGGAGCATTTGTCAGGTGACCTTAAAAGCCAGCAGCAACTTTATATTTGTTAATGGGCTGGGTGTGGTGGCAGAGACAGGAGGATCTCTGTGAGTTGAAGGCCAGCCTGGCCTGCAAAGAGTCCAGGACAGCCAGGTCTCCGTTACACAGAGAAACTCTGTCTCAGTCCCAAGTACATCGTGCCATGTTCCTCTACTAACAAACTACCCAGAAAAGCCTCCGTTTCCAACTTGTTGCGTAACAATTCTATCTTGCCACCTTAGCAGGGAGGGTCAGCAAATGGAAACACTTGCTTCCATCACCATTGCATTCCAGTCCACATCCCCAGCAGGCCTGTAGCATTTGATGCTCAAAATGACTCCACACTTCATCTATTTTAGGCCTAAAACCTCTTAAATTTATGAAATCCCACAAAGGGTGTATGGGTGGACCTGACCAGCTGAGAAGACTTGAGAGCCAGCACGGTTAGGGAGCCTCTAGGAAATGGCTCATACCCTGGAATACTCTCTTGGTCCAGGCACTGAAAATATCTGAGAGGCTGGTTGTCTAGGGTGACCTTGAAGAAGAAAGCATTAGACCACACGTGGTGGCACATGCCTTTAATCCCAGCACTTAGGAGACAGTGGTGAGTGGATCTCAGTGAGCCTGATCTACATGTGAGTTCCAGGCCAGCCCGGGCCATCTAGTAAGACCTTGTCTCAAATAGGTGAGATAGACTCCTACTCATGTGGGAGTGCCGGGTCCCCGACCTTAAGAGCAGCCCTGCGGCACGCCAGGCTAGGGTGGCACGGCCTGCTTCCGTGACCATCCATCCTGATCCTCAAGGGCTCAGCAACGGTCTCATGGCTGGCACCCTGGAGTAACAGCAGACTCCAGCCGGCTCCAGGACTACAGGGTGCCCTCTGGCATTCATCTCCCAAGCCTGACAGAGGGGAAGCAGGTGCAGGCTGGGCCTCCTCCACCCACCCTGGGCCTGGAAGCTGAGACTCAGCAGGATGTGAGCAACCTCCGATTGGGGGGTGGGGGTCAGGCCTACAGCCACCCCACTTGTCCCAAAGCCTCCCAAGCGCCCTGGAAGTGCACTCCCACATGTAGTCCATCCTGACCCGTTTTTAAGACAGGGTCTCACTGTATAGCCCTGGCTGGCCTGGAACTCAGTGTAGATGAGGCTCACAGAGATCCACTGCTCTGGTGTTCTCTGCAGAATCTGATGTTGAGGATACTGATGAGAGTCCCCCAGCACTCTCATTACCAGCAGCTCTCCTCGCTAGGGGTGGGAGGGAAATGAGCAATGTCTGCGATGGATGCCCTCTGTACCTGCACTGCAGGCTGTTTATTCTGCTGTAGAGGGAACGACACTAAAAAGTTTTGGGCAGAGCACAGGGAGTCTTACCGAAAAGTGGGGGGATAGAAGGACCAGGAGGGGACAGGAGCTCCACAAGAAGACCAGCAGAGCCAACAAATCTGGGCCAGGGCACCCTACAGAGACCTATGTACCAACCAAGGAAGCAGGTAGGCAGCTCAGTCTCCATGTGGGGCGCAGGGTCTGTCTCTGACATAGACTCTGCCTGCTTTGTAGGATCAGCCTACGAAGGAAGAGGATGCAGACAGTCCTAATGAGATTTGATAGGCTGGGGTCAGACGATAGGGGAGGAGGGCTTCCCTTTCTGAGGCCTGGAGGAGGAGGATGGGAGGAAAAGAGGGACTGGGAGGAGACAAGGGAGGGGCATACAATCGGGATGTAAAGTGAATAAATTATAAAAAATAAATAAATAAACTAAAAAGAAGGAGAGGAAAAGCCCCATAAATAAAAGCAGCTGTGAGTCCCCTAGGTTTCTTGACACGCTAATATTTCTCTAGATGGGAAGACCCCGGTCAGGTGAAAGAGGACAAGGGTCACCTCACACAGGCCGCCCAGTTCAGAACAACAGGCAGTCACAGAACTCACTGCAACTGCAGAGCTGCCCAAGACCACAACAGGGCAGCGCAGTGCAAGGAAGCGTGGTGATCAAGTTTAAAGCGCACCAGGAGAGCGCTTTCTAAAAGAGAAAGTGTAAGCCTAATTTAAGCGGCTGGAAACTCAGAATCCCGTGCCTCGGGCCGGAAAGGGTAGGCAGGCCGCCCGCCAGAGCAGTCGACTCACGCTTGGGGGCGCTGTCCAAGCTTGTGAACCAGCAGGCGGAGCATCCAGTAGTGTGGCTGTCACTCGCGTGCGACGCCGTCCATCAAGCTGCAGTCTCCAAGCTTCCCCTTCCGCCCCGCCCACTGCCCCCGAGACCCCGGGAGGCAGCAGGCTAGACAACAAGAGCTCCTCCTAACGGGGCGGGGACGAGACGCTCCCGTGGTGCTCCGCGGCCACTTCCGGGCCGGGCGGGCAGCGGGCTCCGATGTCATGTTGCGCGTCCTGAACCGCCTGGCGGCGCGGACCGGGGCCCAGCCCCCAGCCGTGCTGCTCCTGCCCGTGCGCGGCCGTAAGAGCCGCCACGACCCGCCTGCCAAGTCCAAGGTCGGGCGCCTGAAGATGCCGCCCGCAGTAGACCCTGCGGAGCTCTACGTGCTGACCGAGCGCTACCGGCAGTACCGGGAGATCGTGCGCGCGCTCAGGTGTGTGTGAAGGGCAGGCGGCCCTCGGCGCCCTCCGGGAAGTGTTGGGGCGGGGGGCTGGGTGCCGACTTGAAGCCCGTCCTCACTCAGGCGAGAGTTCGTGTTCGAGGTGCGGAGGAAGGTACACGAGGCTCGAGCCGGGGTCCTGGCCGAGCGCAAGGTGCAGGAGGCCGCCGCGGAGCACCGGGAGCTGATGGCTTGGAACGAGGAAGAGAACCGGCGTCTGCAGGAGCTGCGGTGCGAGAGTCGCGGGGCTCGGTGGGCCGGGCCAGGCTCCGCCGCCGCCCGGCTCACCCTCCGCTTCTTGCCCCTCGCAGGATAGCTAGGTTGCAGCTGGAAGCACAGGCCGTGGAGCTGCGACGAGCCGAGGAGCAGGCCCAGAGGGCCCGGGAGGAGCAGGCTTGGGTGCAACTGAAAGAGCAAGAAGTGCTCCAACTGCAGGTGGGCCGAGGTTGTGGGGAGTTGTGGGCATTGGCCACAAAGGGAGGCTGTGGGGAGAGCAGCACAGGGAGTGACCTGACCAGGTCGTCGGGAGGCTTTTTGCTCTGCACACAGAGGGTGTGTTTGTTTGCCCTCCCAGGCGATAGTCAGTGAAAGGTTGCAGGTAGTATTACCCTGTGAAACTTGAAATCGGCGAAACCCATAACTGAGAACGAAGCTTTCTTAAAGCATAAGAGGGAGTGCACCCCCTCTAGTCGGGTTGTCACGATTGGTTCGTGGGTTGTGGCTGAGAGATCTGATGGGTGATTGTCCAAGGATGAGGACTATGATGGTCACCTAGTACTGTTGTGCTGCAAGATTGGTGGGACACTGGAAGAGATCCTGGGGCCTTTGGACACGCCAGCCTCTGTGGGCTGGAAACAGTAAGCTGTGTAGATGGCCAGCTCTGATGGAGTTCCCATATAGTTAACCTCTCTCATCCCGTAGGAGGAGGCAAAGAACTTCATCACTCGGGAGAACCTGGAGGCACGGATAGAAGCAGCATTGGACTCTCCGAAGAGCTATAACTGGGCCGTCACCAGAGAAGGGCAGGTGGTCAGGAACTGAGCACAGAGGCTCTAGGTCCCAGATAAAGGCAGTGCTTGCCCAGGGACCACGTGGATCGGGGCAGGAGTTGATTCATCCTAGGAGGATGGCTCAGCCTTTTCCAGAGCAGCCCCTGTGCATGCTAGGTTCCGCACTCACCACCTGACTGGAAACTCCCAAACGTAGTGCCCTGCTCTGACACCACATACAAACTGAGGACAGCACTGAACTCTGGGAAGTTCCTGTCCCATGGAGAACCCGACTGGGCTGTGACCCCTCTAGAAGCCACGCTGTCTCCTGAGTCTCATGGAGTACCATGAGCCAAATGTTTCTCGCTTTTATAAATAAAATATTGGAGCCCAGTCCTGCCCTTTCACTGTCCATAGTTATAGTGCTAATGACAGGGGCAAGTAGGTAGGCGGATGCTAACTTGCTTGTAAAGCCAAAGGCGTTTGTTATGTGACTTATGGTTGATTGGTTGGTTTCTGTAGAATAAGTTTATTTGTCCCTAGTTATTTGCATGTTTAGATTACTAGCCAGAAGCAAGTTTCACCTAACTAAGCCGTGAGCTAATTACCTGCTTTGCTCAATCCTGGGCATTGCTAGCTAGGGTTTAATGTGTGCAGATCCAGAAGGCAAAAAGGGTACCCTGTTTCTCCTGGTAGCTCCCCTGGAGTGGTTTCTGAACCCCGGCCCTGTCACAGTGTTGTTGACCCTCAAGCTGAACACATCTGGTCCAGCCAGTTGCTGCCCTTCCATGTGATTTAAGTGTGGACCAAAGGGCAGCCTTAGGCATCATTCCTCAGGGCTCTCTCACCTTGGTCTGGTTTGTGTTTGTGGGGTTTTTGTGTTGTTTGTTTAGTTAGTTAGTTTTGAGACAGGGTGTTTGACTGGAACCTGCAGCTCACTAATTCCATTGCCTGGCCAGCTAGCCGCAGAGAATCCATCTGCGTGTGCTTGCCTGGCCCTGGGATCGGATACACATGCCATTACGTTTGCCTTTCATGTGGTACCAGGAGGCAAACCCAGATCTCCATGACCGCACTGATGCACTTTAGTGAATGAGCTGTCTCCCCAACTCCTGTCTCTGCTGTCGTTGTCATAAACTCGAATGCCATTGACATGAACTCCATCTACTATCCAAGGAAAAGAATCCTAGCTACTTCCGCAGTGCGAGGGTGTTGAAATCCCCAAGAATGGGACTCTGGCAGCCTCTTCCCCCAGTGAAGAAGTGATGTCTTCTTCACCAGGACCGTCTCCCCAGGCACAGTCAAGCATAGGTATTACCTAGACACCGGACCACTGCCCCTTCATGATCACCGAGTGAACGGTGTGGCCGTGGCCTTTAGGGCCAGGTAGGTCACACAGAACTGAAGGTGGTATAGAGTGCTTGCCCAGAGTGCTGAGGCCCTGGGTTCAATCCCCAGCACCGCAGCACCAGGCGAGGTGGTTCTTGTCTGAGGAAAAGTAGAATTTCAAGGTCATCCTCAGCTATGGAGGAAGTCTGGGACCAACCCGGTTCTTCATGAGATTTCAAGAAACCTGCCCACGTGCTCGTCAGGTAGACTGGATGTGAAAGTGCCTGACTACTGGTGCTGCGGCTGGGTGAAAGCCAGAGAAAGAGGAGTGCACTTGCCAGCTCAGTAGGTGTTGGGTATTTTAATCTGTTTCACCTAGGTTTGACTAAGCCTGAGGTCATTGCTCAGTTTCTCCAGTGTACAGCTATCTAGCTGCCCTGAAACCTCTAAAGCTCCCCTGTGAATTTGCAAGGACAGTTAAAACAGACTCAGTTGGATGCTAAAAAGTAAATCTGGCAGGAAGAATCAAATTTGGAATTATATATTTTTTTTGCCAAATAATAAGTCAAATGCAATATTTGAACCCCAAACCTGGCCAGTCTGATGATGCTGACCATTTCCTCTTTGGATGCTTTATCAAATATGTCAAGCTCAGAAGATCTGAATTCAGTCCCCAGCACCCATGCCAATCAGCTGACAAATCCCTGTTTCCAAGGTGAAACAGTGCCTCTAGCCACAAGGCCACATGCACTTACCGATATAAACATAATTAATAAAAATAAAATTTAAATATCGTGGTCTTACTGGTTGAATTTTTTAACATTTTATTAGTTCTTTGTGAATCTTACATCATGCACCCTAATTCCACTCATTTCTCATTTCCCGTTATACCCACTCTTCACCTTTGAAACCTTCCCCCTCAACAACAAAAAAAAAAAATCTTGTGGTCTGGTTGAGGCTTCAGCTCTGTCAATACCAGACCCTCACTGGGGCTCTTCTCAGCTAGCCTGTTGTTGCCCTGTGTCAGGGAGATCCTGCAGTTTGGATGTGTAGGACCCATCACTATGCACTCCAGCAGTTCGTCAGCGGTGTGGGTGTTAGCATGGGCCAATTCAGAGCCCTGGATCTGGACCTGACAAGTGTCTGAGCTGGTCAGCCCTGCAGCTCTCATGCCCTCAGGGCAGCTCACCCACAACTCCACAACCAGGACCAGCCCTACTGTGCTACCCAGGCGAGGTGGGGCAGGGACCGATCTGCTTTCAGGGCCCCAGGGCAGGGTCTCCTGCCTGAGGCAGATGGGAGAATGGAGGGGAGGTGCCTCCTCATCCATGACCCCTCACAGGAGAGCGGCAGGGCAGGTCTCCCGTGCTCATATTCTCAGGGTCAGTTCACCTGCAGCTCCTGCAGTGTGTGGGACCACTCTCCGGGGCACTGCAGCTGCCTAGGGGCAGGGCCAGCTCTCCCAAGAAACCCAGAGGAGGGCGGGGCCGGTTCTGCACACCCTCAGACACCAACCTGTCCCCAGGCAGCAGCCCAAACCAGAACCACCATCACTGGCTACTCACTACCCGCCAGTCGGCCTCTCTCCATTGTGCCCACATCCTTTGTTCTTTCTCTCCCATTTCTCCACCACTTACTTGCTCTCCTTAGTGGTGACCAGGGTCTCAAGTGCCTGGGGTGGTCTCAGGAGTGCTACGCCCCGCTCATACATTGTGGCACCAGGCAGGAGTCATCTTGGCCACGGTCTGCCGCCACCCCCGCCCACTCCACAGTTGGTCATCTCAGGCTCGATTTTTTTCTGATGCTCACAGGTCAGAACACTGAGCGCAGCCACGGCCTCTCCTCTCCGCCACCTACTGATCCGCGTGTGACATGGCAGCCACGCATGCAAAGCCTCTAGGGGCAGTTTTTTGTTTGAACTTTCAAGCAGGGTCTCACTCTGTAGCTAGCGTGTGGAACTCACTATATAGATCAAGCTGGCCTGCACTCAAGATCTGCCTGCCTCTGTCTCCCAAGTGCTTTTTAAAGAATAACTTTTAAAATCTTCTTAAAATTAAAGAAAAAAGAAAGAAAGCAGCTGGAGAGATGGCTGCATGGTTCAGAGCACTTGCTGCTTATTCAGGGAATGAGTTGGTTTCCAGGCACCCACATCCAGCGGCTCACAACCATCTGTAAGTCCGGTCCCAGGAGAGCCAATGTCCCCACAGGCCCTCACATGCACATGGCCATATTGGACACACCAACACATAATCTAAAATTTTAAAACACCCAGAAAGGTAACATCAGAGGCGGCCAGAAAAGGTGTCACACATCTGTAGTCCCAGCACTTACAGAGCAGACAGGCTGATCTCCACAAGTTAAAGGCCAGCCTGGTCTACCTTGAATAAAGGCTGCCGGGACTATAAAGCACATACCTTCTCTGGAAAAAGAGCAGAAGCTGGGTGAACACACCTACCAGCGCCCTAAAGGACAGGGACTTTAAAACTGGCCTCGCTTATTTAGTCGGTGTGAGGCCAGCCTGGGCTACCTAAAGCCCTATCTCAAAAAGGAGGGTGAAGACAGTGGGGACAGTGCTACAAAGCTCCTAGGACTCAGGAGCACCTGGAGTTTAATGTCGTACTCATCTACATGGAGAACTTGAGGCTCTTAAAGGGCCCAAAGCTTGGAACTGAACCCAGGTCCTCTGGAAGAGCCGCCGGTGCTCTTAACTCCTGAGCCATCTCCCACCCTGCAAAGCTGCCTCCCAGCACCCGGCATTCAGTTCTGCTGCATCTGCTGACTTACCTGTGATCTGACCACAGTTCACAGGCTGGATTAGGAGGGCAGGGCTGCTGGGGGACTGAATGTTGCTACAAACCTTTCTTGGCAATCTTTATTGCTAAAAAGTCAGAATTAAGTTAGCCTTAGTGGCACACGCCTTTAGTCCTAGCACTTGGGAGGCAGAGGCAGACTGATCGCTACAAGTTCGAGGCCAGCCTAGTCTATAAAGTGAGTCCAGGACAGTGGAGGCTACGCAGAGAAACTTTGTATGGGGGTGGGGGGGTTAGAATTAAGTTTATATTTGCTCTGAGACAAAATTACATACAAGAACATCAGGTGTTTTCAGAAAACTAAGTTGATCATATTTAAAATTTGTAGCTTATATTTCTCCAGAACTTCAGGAATTATAAATCTTTAATTGTCAAAATGTATTACTATTCCAAATTTTATTTCAATAGCCTTATTGGGTTCCAGGGTGTAGTTCCATGGTAGAGAACTTACTAACCATGTCCCAAGGCCCTGGATTCCACACAACCCCACACACCCACATAGAAAACATCCCATAGTCTTTAAACAAGCCCAGCTGTTTGAAAGTCCAGATACCTGATGTCTTCCTTACTTTTTAAACAAACTCACTGAAGGGCCAGAAAAAACCCTCTGGAAAGACTCAATCAAGCAGAGGCCTGACCTTCACTGGCTCACATGCTGGGGGCGGGGGGGGCAGGTAGTGTTAACAGGTTTTCTTCTAAGTTTTGACTGTCACAAGAAGCAATAAAATATTCAGAGCAAAAGAATAATATGTCTCGCATAAGGAAATTAGCAAAATAATGACAAAAGATTTTCCACCCAAGACAGGGTCTTCCTATGTAGCCCTGGCTCTCCTGGAACTCGCTCTGTAGACCAGGCTGGCCTCAAACTAAGAGAGATCCACCTGCCTCTGCCTCCGAAGTGCTGGCACTAAAGGCGTACACCACCACCCCAGCCCAGAAGAGCTCTGTATAAACTGTTTTCTTCTGTCTAGAAAAGGACCCTCCATGGGAGGTAGAGTGCTAAAATGGTCACTGTGATCCCCACTCCTGGTACCTGCACCTTTGTGTAATCTGTAACATGTAAACAGAACCCATAACTTGATCACTTTTTCCTGCCAAAAGAAAAATACAGCAGAAGTGTCACCCCTCGAGTACATGCCAGCTATAACAAAGGTGGAGGCTTTGACATATGATGTCATGCAGCTTCCGCTCCGTTTCGCCCTGCTGGATCTGACCTAATCAACTGAGATGTTTGTTCAGTTGTTTGAGGCTCTTTTCAAGACAGGGTTTCACTATGTAGTTCTGGCTGACCTGCGGCTCACTACTACACAGACCAGGCTGGCCTCAAACTCAGAGATCTGCCTTCCTCTGAATCCCAAGTGCTGGGGTTAAGGTATGCACCACCACACCCAGCCAAGTGAGCCCTTTAAAACTGAGCCTAGGTCAGGCATAAAGGCAAAGATAGGAGGATCTCTGCAAGGTTAGGCCTGCCTGATTTACACAGAGAGTTATAGGATAGCCGTCACTTCATAGTGAGAGCCTGTCTCAGTAAACAAGTAGAGTTCGATAGATAGACAGACAGAGTGAGAGAGAGAGAGATAGATGGATGGATAGATAGATAGATAGATAGATAGATAGATAGATAAATAGATAAATAGAAGACAGAGATAAATAAATGATAGACAGACAGACAGATAAAACGTGAGCCTAGGCCTTCCCCATACTCAAAGACTTGATGGAACAGAAGCAGTCTCTTGCCTGCCCTTTGTCTCTGAGTGCTCAGAGAAGCAGGGCCTGGACAGATGCTCAGTGGTTGAAAGCACAGGTTGCTCTTCTAGAAGACCAGGATTCATTTCCCAGCACCTGTGTGCCAGCTCACAACCACCGGGGACTCCAGTCCCAGGGGGATCCGACACCTTCTTCTGGCCTCTGTGGACATTGTGCGTGTGTGGTGCAGACATACATGGAGGCCAAACACACATATCAATCAAAAAGAAAAATTGTAAAGAAGCAAGCTGTTGACTTTGGCTCTCTGTAAGTCCAGAGCGCGCAGGCTGGCAGGAGAGAGGCAGTGCCTAAATCAAAGAAACTTGTTTCTTCAAACTCTTCAGGCAGTGATCCTGACAGTGAAGTTGAGAAAAAGTTAAAGAGGAAAAAGCAAGTTGTTCCAGACAAACCTGTGAAGAAGCAAAAGTCTGTTGAGACTTCAAGAGCTCTGACATCTTCCAAGCAGAGCTGCAGCAGCAGAGGTGACAGCTTCTGACTGGGAAGCTAAGATACATCAGTGTTCTGGACTCTAAAGAAAAAATTCTAATTGATATTAGAGAATATTGGCTGGGCTCAGAAGGTGAAACGAAAGCAGGGAGAAAAGGTATTTCTTTGAACATGGAGCAATGGAGCCAGCTGAAGGACCGGATCTCTCACATAAATGAGGCACTAAGAAAGCGGTAGAATCTGAGCCATATCAAACCTGAGCTGTTATAGTTGTTTTAATCTGTCTTTTTACACTGGCTTTTGTTTTCTAAATGTTGTTTTCCAAGCTGTTGTATATTTGGATTGCAGAACAGTTTGTAAGATGAATACTTTTTTAATGTGCATTATTAAAATGTTCTAAGTGGGGGGCTGAGAGATGGCTCAGAGGTTAAGAGCTCTGGTTGCTCTTCCAGAGGTCCTGATTTAATTCCCAACACCCACATGGTGGCTCACAACCATCTATAGTGAGATCTGCCGCCCTCTTCTGGTGTGCAGGTGTACATGCAAGCAGAATGCTGTATAGATAAGAAATAAAATCTTTTTTGAAAATGTTCTAAGTGAACCTAATTGTCAGCCTAGTGTAAAATAAAGTCATATCATTACAATCTTTAAAGAAGAAGAGGAGGGGGAGGAAGAAGAAGAAGAAGTGAGCTGTCATGTGATGTACAGCTGCAGGGAAATGAATTGTGCCCATGTCTCCAAGCTCTGATAAGGAAAGCTTACCTTACCAGCTGGTGGCTTGGCTGATGCTGGGGACCATGAGTCCAGAAGCCTGCCCATGCTCTGACATGAGAAACAGATATTAATTTTACAGGCTACATTTGAGTGCACGGCTTCTTCCCTCTGTCTGAGTGCCCACAGGTCACACCTCACAACACACACTGCTTTTCCTTGCATAGCATTTTCTAACCCACCACCGGCAGAGCTTGGAAACCAAGCAGGGGGTGAGAGAATGGAGTAAGGACAGACACACATACAGAAGGGCTGGGGTCAGATGGTCTGCGCACTCTCAGGTGGAATGGTACCAACCCAGAACCTCAGCTCGTCCACTCTGCACAGGGAGGGGCTGGTTAATCTCTGTAGGCAGCAAACTAGGTTGTAAACATCCAGGAGGCTCTAGCTTCTATCGGCTAAAGCCACTCCCCGCTCTCTCCTTTGTAAACACTCACACTAGCACACACTCTCAGCAGTTGAAGGCTTTGCCAAATCCCCATTCACCTCACCCCCAGGGCAGAGGGAAGCTTTGCCAACTTCTCATGTCAGCTCTCCTAGGGGCATCAAGACATAGACCCTGTGCAGGCGGCCGGCACAGCGGTACCTACCACCAGTCCTAACCCATGTGGCCTTTGGAGTTGTGCTTACCATCGCTTCCCGTGGTGCCCTTTAGTTACTATAGCAAAACCCCTGACCGTTGTTAACTTATAGAAGCAAAAGGTTTGATTGGGTTGGCTTTGAGATAGCATCTCATTAACCCCTGAATGGCCTTGAACTCTCATTTACCTGAGACTGGTCTTGAACTCCTGATCCTCTTGAGCATTTCCGGCATGCTGAGATTACAGATGTGTGCTGTCATGCCTAGTAGTAAAAAGATGATTTTGGCTCTCAGTTTCAGAGGCTCTAGTTCACGATCGGTTGGCCCTGTGGCTTACAAGTCTTTGTTGAAGCATATATCGTGGTAGGAGCACACAAAGGAAAGAGCCCTTCATTTCATGTCTGGGAAACAGAGAGAGAGAGAGAACTAGGGGGACCAAGTTCTCACTACCATCTTCATGGGCATGCCCACAACGACCTGAAGACTTTCCACTCAGTCTTAAAGATCTCCCAACACATCTTCCTAAGGACTAGCAATATAACACGTGGGATATACTCAGACCCAAACTAAGGCAGTAACCCAATTAACATGCTTCTTATTTCACATTTTGCCTCCTCCAATGACATATACACTGCATCGGGAAAGTGATTTTTCTCTCCTGGTGCTGACATTGTACTGGAGGCTTCATGTACACTAGCTTGCACATTAGCTAGACAAACTAGTGTTCTCCCGCTAAGCTGCAGCCCCAGCCTCAGGACAAGGATTCTGTCCGCTGTTCTCAAACACAGATGACAAGTTGGTTAACACAAGAAGGCTTGCTGGCCTTATGGGAGCATTATGTGCATATTATTATGATATGCTAATTTATGTGCATGGATTACCTTAGATGAGCTCACTGTGCCCACAGAGTATGCGGGAGGCCTCTCTGGGGCCATTTGTGGGGTCAAGCTATTGGCCTTCTACAGCAGGAATGCCAATAAGCTAATCTGGATGATAAATGAACTGATTTGTAGTATGGGTCAACCTGACCACCAGCTCAGCTTTGATAGCTTGTGACTCAGAAGCTCTGACTCAGGGTCAGATGAGCTCGGGAACATGCTTTGCCTCACTGACCCCAGCCCCTTGAGGACGAGGTTGAGTGTGAAAACAAAGAGCCTAGGGGCTTTTCCATTCTCCCTAGGGGCAGAGACTGCATGTGGTGAGCTGGTCTCCAGGACACTGGCTATCATTTTTTCCTGGGTGTTGCCGGGCACTTCCTGAGGAAGTAGCCCCAGATGGAGTTTAGAACACAGGGGCCCAAGACTCACCTCTGAGGAGGAGAAGCGACCTGGCGTGGTCGTGCAGGTCTTGAATCCTAGTACTTGGGAGGCAGGTGGATCAGTGTGAGTTCAAGGCCAGCCTGGTCTACACAGAGAGTTTCAGGACAGCTACATAGTGAGACCTTGTCTCTAAACAAACAAACAAAAATGAGAGTTTGGGCAATGCTTCTCCTTTCTTTTAAATTTTTTTTATTTTTATTTATCATTATTATTTTTTAATGTGTATGAACTCCCTGCCTGCACGTATCCAATGCAGCATGTGTGCCTGGTGCCCTTGGAGGTCAGAAGAAGACACTGTCTTCACGGGAACCATAGTTATAGGTGGTTATAGGTGGTTGGTTATGGGCTAGCATGTGGGCTCTGGGACTCAAAGCTGGGTTCTCTGCAAGAGCAACTCTTAAGCACTGAGCAACTCTCCGGCCCCAAGATGGTAAGATATTTAAGACAGGCCCAGTGGAGAGTCTTTGGGTCATGGAGGGCAAGCCCTTGAAGGGTTGCATCTTCCTGCCATGACATGTCTGTCTGTCTTTGTCTGTTTGAGACAGGGTTTCTTTGTGTAGCCCTGACTGTCCTGCCACTAGCTCTGTAGATCAGGCTGGCCTTGAACTCACAGAGATTTTCCTGCCTCTGCCTCCTGAGTGCTGGGATTAAAGGTGTGTGCCACCACCTGGTTTAATATGTGTTTAATTTTAAACTATATTAAAAATACAAAAAAAAATCAAAACAAAACAAAAAACAAGGGCTTGAGAGATGGTGCAGTGGTTGAGAGTAGCTCACAGATGTCCAAAACCTCAGCACGGGGCAGGATAGGGAAAGTGAAAGTGGGAGTCCTTACATGTCCCCGAAACTTGGATGGGAGGGGAAAATTCGAGTTTTTTCTAGCAGAGGACTGGATTTCGTTTCCAGCACCCGCATAGGCTGACTCACAGCACCCTTTAATTACAGCTCCTGTAATTAAATAGGAGGCTCTAACATCCTCTTTTGGTCTCCCAGGCAACCTGCACACACAAACAAACACATGAATAAGAATAAAAACTGTTCCCAAAACATATTTCCGTCACTGTGCCAAGGTCTCCCGCTTGCTAGGCAAGCAGGCTGCTTGCTGAGCTGTAGGTAGCATGCCTCCCGTGCAGGCCTGTGCAAAGCTGAAACTCAGCCAGGGGGGTCCAGCGTGTGGCCACCTGAGAAGGGCCGGGGCCAGGTGGCTCTCTGCAGCTGAGGCCATCTGTTGTCCACACCCCAGCAGCTGATGGCAAGTGTTTGCTCAAACAGGTATCTAGGCACCTTGCTTGGTGGTGACTGACTTTAATCCAAGCACTTGGGAGGCACAGGCAGGTGGATCACTGTGAGTTCGAGGCCAGCCTGCTCTACACATGTATACTAAGTACAAACGTAATTATTCTTTTGTTTTGTTGTGACTTTTCTTCTTTTTTGTTTTATTTTTGTTTCTTTGCTGATACTTTGTCCAGTCGGAAGAAGAAGGGCTGAACTGCATTCAGAAGTGGAAGGAAAACTCGATTTTCTTTCCCATCCAAGTTTCAGGGACATGCAAGGGCTCCCACTTTCAGTCTCCCTATCCTGCCCCCCCCCCCTTGAGTCCTCTCTATCCTCTTAGCTCAGGCCACCCCGGCCAGACTGCTCCAGGCCATTAGCTGAGGCGGTGACCTTGACCCTAGTCTAGACCCTGCAAATGAAGGGCCAGCCTCTAAACAGCGTGGAACCATTTGACCCGAGAGACCTTATGTGACCAGCCATGCGGTTGCCCTCTTAAGACAGTGCTCCACCGAGGCAGTGCCCAGACATAAAAAGGTCGGGCCGGGCTGGGGACTCCATCACCTCAGAGCACCAGCCATGGCCTGCCCCAGTCTCGCCTGCTGCCTGCTCGGTCTGCTGGCTCTGACCTCCGCCTGCTACATCCAGAACTGTCCCCTGGGCGGCAAGAGGGCTGTGCTGGACCTGGACATGCGCAAGGTGAGTCTCCCCAACCTGGTCCTGGTCCCGCAGAACTAGGGATCAGAGACGCTCTCCCACCCGCAGGGGGCATCCCCACACTCCTGCCTGCCCTACCCCGGCCTCGCGTGGGAACCCAGGGCGCTAGGAAGGGTTGGGTTCCCGCTCACTGGCGGAGACAAGGGCCCTCGCCCCGCCGCTGGGTCCACCCGCGTCCTTCCCCGCAGTGTCTCCCCTGCGGCCCGGGCGGCAAAGGGCGCTGCTTCGGGCCCAGCATCTGCTGCGCGGACGAGCTGGGCTGCTTCGTGGGCACCGCCGAGGCGCTGCGCTGCCAGGAGGAGAACTACCTGCCCTCGCCCTGCCAGTCGGGCCAGAAGCCGTGCGGGAGCGGGGGCCGCTGCGCCGCCTCGGGCGTCTGCTGCAGCTCTGGTGAGCAGGAGGGGGCGCCTGGCGGGGCCGCCGGGCAGGGAGCCCTCGGGTTTGCTGACCCCTTTCTCTTGCAGATGGCTGCCACACAGATCCCGCCTGCGACCCTGAGTCTGCCTTCTCCGAGCGCTGAGCCCTCCCTGTGATGACCGCCTTAGGGCGCATCCTTCACTCCCCAGAAAGAATGAAAAATAAAGCACATTTCCTCCTCACACTTGACTGGCGTCTAATTGTTGGAAGCGGGAGGGAGGAAAAGCATCGGAACGCTATGGGTCCTGGCAATTCAGAGGAAGAATGGCCCAGCAGGCTGTCGGGGGACAGAGGGGTGCTCAGCCACCCTGTCACCACCCTGTAGTTTAGCCCCATTTCCCGCCCCCAACTGGGGTGAGCCTGTGGCAGACAGACTTAGCACATTTGAAAGTCCAAACAGCAATGGTAGACATCTGTGGGAAAAGATGAGGCCTGATAACAGACCGAGTGAAGGGGAGACAGGCAGGAGGCAGTAGGACGCATCATCCAGACTTTAGCCACAACCTCAGAGGTTGGCCTAGAAGGAAGAGTCTTAGCCAGGAGACGGTAGTTGAAAAATCATAAGGTTTCTGCAGAGCTAAATTCTCACACAGGGCCCCAAGGAGGCCGTAGCTGGAAAGATCAAGGCCAGGCCTGAGCTCAGGGGCCTGCTCCTGCCTCTGCAGAACCGCATCTCTGAGAAGACATGGGTGCTAAGAGCCACAAACGCCCATAAAGCCCACAGGCAAGCAGAGAACCCCGCCATCTATCCTGTTTGTTTACTGCTGGATTAAATACCCGCTCCTTGCCCGCAAAGCTGACACTTAGCTGCCAGTGTTCTCAGCAGGGATGGCAGAAGCCACACGGCCCTCCTCCACGCCGCCACAGGGGCACGTGACTCACTGGTAGCATCACGTGTGATGGTTTGGGTGGAGCTCAGTGGAGAAGGTCTTGCTCCACAGGAGTGAGGCTCTGGGCCCCCCACCCCATCACAGCGAGTAAATAAACACACAAATAAGCGCTCTCTGTGGTCCTCACACCCAACGCATGAAGACAGATGCACCACCACAAGCGGGACCAACAGACATGGTGGAGGCCAAAAAGATAGCGGAAAGAGACTTCAAGATTGATTTGAGTTGGGGGGGGTTGTTTTGTTTGGGCAGTGTTTTTTTTTTTTTCTTTGTACGTGTCTCTGTATGAGAGTATTGCACATGAGTGCAGTGCCCATGGAGACCAGAAGAGGGCATCAGATCCCCTGCGCCCGGAGTTACAGGTGGTTTTGAGTCATCCTAGGTGGGTGCTGGGAACGGAACAGGGGTCCTCTGCAAGAGCAGTGTGCCCTCTTAACTCCTGGGCCATCTCTCCAGCCTAAAGTTTTTCTTAATTGCATTTCCTTATTGTGCGTTTGAGGGTTGTACATATGCCACAGCCCATGTGGCTGTCTGTGGAGGTCAGAGGACTCTTGACATCTGCTCACACGGCCCCATTTGCTTCTGGAGGCTGAAAAGAGGAGGCAAGCATTTACTCTGAACTCTTGAAGTGCCTTTAAACGGCTCAGTAGCTGGGTAAGGGTCTCCCTGAAAAGAAAAGAGAATAGAAGGTCCAGTGGGCAGAAGGCAGGGTAGGCAGACAGATGTAATTCCTCTCCTTGAGGAAGAGGAACCTGATTCCTCTAGAAACAAGTGGGGGAAGGGGAGTTCACAGCTCTCCACCTGGGCAGAGGAGCAGAATGGGGCATCTGAACGTCATTGTGAAGCCTCCAATACAGCAACCCTAGGAATTAGCTCAAGTGTGGCCAAACCACCTACCACTCCCACCTCCGTTCTGTTTCTTTTTGGTCTGGTCTTTCCCTGGACCTGCCGTGTTGGAGGTTAGACCCTGAAAGGGTAAGGAGGAGGCCTGGGAAGGAGTCTGCCTGGCCCCTGTAACCCCTGGTTCAACTCAAACATACAGAGAGGCATAAAGGTACTGAGGAGACGGGAAGAGACCTGGAGGCTCGTTATGGCCCCTTGACCCTGTCCAGAGCTGACAGTGCTCAGCCACCCAGCCAGGTCACTCAGACTAATCTCTCTCTTCTGCAGTTTCTCCTGACTGCAGAGCCTGCTGAGCATCCCAAAGGAGAGAGAGCCAGCATTGTGTGGCCCCTAACCCTGGAACAGGACTTGTGGAGAGGGTTCCCAGGACAGGCGGGGTGGAGAGAGGAAAGGGTGGGGAAACAGGAGTGTGAGAACAGAAGAGACGACAGGATCGGGGCTGAGCAGTAAGGGCAGTTAAGAGGAGTGGGATTCGGATCCTGGAGCTCACATGGTTGTTCCTAACCACCCGTGACTCGAGTTCCAGGGAAACTGATGCTCTCTTCTGACCTCTCCGGGCGCCAGGCACATGACATACATGATGGGGAAACACCCATACATGCAAATAAATAAAAGCTAAACTTTTAGAAAGAAGAAGAAGAAGAAGAAGAAGAAGAAGAAGAAGAAGAAGAAGAA